GGGGCCTGACTGAGACCACAGAGTGACGCAGACAGGAGAATGATCAAAGCACAACACACATTTATTTTATAATAATCACCAGATAAAAATGACGTCACTAAAAATCTGACAAATGCCAAATATTGGCATCAATAATCAATCGATCAGTAGAAACGCTTCAGGCTTTGATTAATTGGTTAATAAGTAATTGAGTTCTGCATCTTACTGCTGCTTTTCCACTCAGAGCATCTTTCACAAGTTTCTGTCATTTTGTACAATTTCTGAATCAATTCAGACAAGTTTTGAGTTGCTTTGAACAATTTGAACTCCTTTCCATGGAACTGCAGCGAGCCGTCGTCAGGCTGATGCTTCATCACGTTCAGCTGCTGAGTGTCAGACTGAACGAACCGGAGGACGAACACGTTGGCTTCTGTTTCCTTTCAGTCAGACTGAAAACTAAAATCATTCAAAGCTGCAGCTCTGATAAACGGCGTTCTGTCCTGGTGTCTCTGGACCTTGGTACCAGAGGAGGAGAAAGTAAAGTCAGCGGGCATCAGAACCAACAGAACCATAAAAACCATAAAACAGATCACAGTGTAATGTCACATCAGTGGAGTGAAAACTGATTCCAAGGTGCTGTTAGAACAAACAGCTGATCCGGTTCTGCTCCGTTGGGTCGATTCTGCTCTGTCGGGTCGGTGCTTGGAGGTTCTGGGCCTGCAGTCGCTGCCGCCTCCTGTCCATCGCCTGCTGCTTCTTCAGCTCGATCTCTGCTGCCGAACATTTAGCTGCAGAGGAAAAACATCTGAAACCTCCCAGACCGAAACCAGAACCAGCACAGATCACAGTTCTGGACTAATGCAGTCACTTCGGAGGAGTTCTGAGTCGAGTTGGTCGCAGACAGTTTAGCTCATGTTGTTCGGCTGCAGAGGTTTGAGGACGAGGTTTTGTCATTTTGGACTGAATTAAATCATTCTGGACATTTTTGGCTTCATTTTTGAACCATTGTCATCATTCGGAGCAGCAGGGAACATTTGTAGAACGACGCTTTCTGTCTGATCACAAAGACGTTTCATACGATAGGAAAATAGATAACCTGGTTAAGTAGTTAAATATTAAGGTCACCACCCGACACTTCTAGTGATGATATACCTTTACCTGATTGACAGTTAACCTCTAACTAGTCCTCAGATCTCTAGAACTAGTTGCTAACCTTTATAACTAGTCCTCAGATGGTGATAAGTCAGTGTGGGGTTCAGATGTTTAACCTGCTCTTACCTTTGTAGTTGGTCGTCATGGAAACTGGGTTGATTGGCCTCTTAAAGGTGAAGTTTTCTTTGATGACGTGATGCTGCGACTGAACGCTGCTGAGAGACTTCGTCACTGCCGAGACAGACACAAGACCAGCAGCCAATGAGCCGCCAGCAGGATGACCAGCAGCCAATGAGCTGCCAGCAGGACGACCAGCAGCCAATGAGCCACCAGCAGGACGACCAGCAGCCAATGAGCCGCCAGCAGGACGACCAGCAGCCAATGAGCCACCAGCAGGACGACCAGCAGCCAATGAGCCGCCAGCAGGACGACCAGCAGCCA